ACATATGTTAGTGTTATGCGGGTCTTGATTAGGTCATCACTGGGCTGCTGGGAACCTCAGGTAGAAGTAAAAATAGAGGACAAGGTTCCTGTTGCCGCTGCCGCTCCACTACTGCGACCCACAGTACAAGAAGAAATCCATGGAAATGAGATTAAATTTATGATGGAAAGAAAAATTGTGAAAGGTTCCATAATAGAAAAATTGGGGCTATATTTAGAGAACAATGTAATTAGGTGCAGAGGTAGGTTACAAAATGCTGAATTGGGTGATTATGCTAAACACCCTATCTTACTGCCCAAAACTCATCATCTAACAAATTTAATTGTTCTAAATGCCCATAAAAATGTAATGCATGGTGGGGTAAAAGATACCTTAAATTGTATTAGGGAAACTTTCTGGATTCCACAAGGACGGCAAAGTGTAAAAAGGGTGATTAAATCTTGTGTAATATGTCGCCGTGTGGATGCCAGATCCTATATGTACCCAGGTCCTCCACCTTTGCCAAATGAGCAATTTGAGTCGTTTAGTAACGAACTCCGCCCGGCCGCAGTGTGGAAAATGCTGTATATATTTTCCAGAAATACAGTAATTATATGTAAATAGATGGGCATTATTTATTTTTTTTTTTTTTTTATTATCACACCGGCCGATTCCCACCAAGGCAGGGTGGCCCGAAAAAGAAAAACTTTCACCATCATTCACTCCATCACTGTCTTGCCAGAAGGGTGCTTTACACTACAGTTTTTAAACTGCAACATTAACACCCCTCCTTCAGAGTGCAGGCACTGTACTTCCCATCTCCAGGACTCAAGTCCGGCCTGCCGGTTTCCCTGAATCCCTTCATAAATGTTACTTTGCTCACACTCCAACAGCACGTCAAGTATTAAAAACCATTTGTCTCCATTCACTCCTATCAAACACGCTCACGCATGCCTGCTGGAAGTCCAAGCCCTCGCACACAAAACCTCCTTTACCCCCTCCCTCCAACCCTTCCTAGGCCGACCCCTACCCCGCCTTCCTTCCCCCTACAGACTGATACACTCTTGAAGTCATTCTGTTTCGCTCCATTCTCTCTACATGTCCGAACCACCTCAACAACCCTTCCTCAGCCCTCTGGACAACAGTTTTGGTTAATCCCGCACCTCCTCCTAACTTCCAAACTACGAATTCTCTGCATTATATTCACAACCACACATTGCCCTCAGACATGACATCTCCACTGCCTCCAGCCTTCTCCTCGCTGCAACATTCATCACCCCCCGCTTCACACCCCTATAAGAGCGTTGGTAAAACTAATACTCTCATACATTCCCCCCTTTGCCTCCAAGGACAAAGTTCTTTGTTTCCACAGACTCCTAAGTGCACCAAATCACTCTTTTTCCCCCATCAATTTATGATTCACCTCATCTTCATAGACCCATCCGCTGACACGTCCACTCCCAAATATCTGAATACGTTCACCTCCTCCATACTCTTTTCCCTCCAATCTGATATTCAATCTTTCATCACCTAATCTTTTTTGTTATCCTCATAACCTTACTCTTTCCTGTATTCACCTTTAAAATTTTCTTCTTTTGCACACCCTACCAAAATTCATCCACCAATCTCTGCCAACTTCTCTTCAGAATCTCCCAAGAGCAAAAGTGTCCTCAGCAAAGAGCAGCTGTGACAACTCCCACTTTGTGTGTGATTCTTTATCTTTTAACTCCACGCCTCTTGCCAAAAACCCCCGCATTTACTTCTCTTACAACCCCATTTTAAAATATATTAAACAACCACGGTGACATCACACATCTTGTCTAAGGCCTACTTTTACTGGGAAAAAATTTCCCTCTTTCCTACATACTCTAACTTGAGCCTCACTATCCTCGTAAAAACTCTTCATGCTTTCAGTAACCTACCCCCTAACACATACACTTGCAACATCTGCCACATTGCCCCCCTATCCACCCTGTCTACGCCTTTTCCAAATCCATAATGCCACAAAGACCTCTTTAGCCTTATCTAAATACTGTTCACTTATATGTTTTTACTGTAAAAAACCTGGTCCCCACACCCCTACCTTTCCTAAAGCCTCCTTGTTCATCTGCTAAACCTATTTCTCCGTTTTTACTCTTAATTCTTTCAATTATAACTCTACCAATACACTTTACCAGGTACACTCAACAGACTTATCCCCCTATAATTTTTGCACTCTCTTTTATCCCCTTTGCCTTTATACAAAGGAACTATGCATGCTCTCTGCCAATCCCTAGGTACTTACCCCCTTCCATACATTTATTTTAAAAAATTGCACCAACCACTCCAAAACTATATTTCCCCCCCTGCTTTTAACATTTCTATCTTTATCCCATCAATCCCGGCTGCCTTACCCCCTTTCATTTTTCCTACTGCCTCACGAACTTCCCCACACTCACAACTGGCTCTTCCTCACTCCTACAAGATGTTATTCCTCCTTGCCCTATACACGAAATCACAGCTTCCCTATCTTCATCAACATTTAACAATTCCTCAAAATATTCCTTCCATCTTCCCAATACCTCTAACTCTCCATTTAATAACTCCCTCTCCTATTTTTAAAAATTTACAAAATTTCCCTTTGTTCTCTAGGCTTTCTTAACTTGTTAATCTCACTCCAAAACTTTTTCTTATTTTCAACAAAATTTGTTGATAACATCTCACCCACTCTCTCATTTGCTCTCTTTTTACATTGCTTCACCACTCTCTTAACTTCTCTCTTTTTCTCCATATACTCTTCCCTCCTTGCTCACTTCTACTTTGTAAAAACTTCTCATATGCTAACTTTTTCTCCCTTACTACTCTCTTTACATCATCATTCCACCAATCGCTCCTCTTCCCTCCTGCACCCACTTTCTGTAACCACAAACTTCTGCTGAACACTCTAACACTACATTTTTTTAAAACCCACCCATACCTCTTCGAACCCCATTGCCTATGCTCTCATTAGCCCATCTATCCTCCAATAGCTGTTATATCTTACCCTAACTGCCTCCCCCTTTTAGTTTATAAACCTTCACCTCTCTCTTCCCTGATGCTTCTATTCTCCTTGTATCCAACTACCTTTTACTCTCAGTATAGCTACAACTAGAAAGTGATCTGATATATCTGTGGCCCCTCTATTTAAAAATGTACATCCTGAAGTCTACTCAACAGTCTTTTATCTACCAATACATAATCCAACAAACTACTGGGCATTTCGCCCTACATCATATCGGTATACTTATTTATCCTCTTTTTCTTAAAATAATGTATTACCTTATAAAATAACCCCTTCTATACAAAGTTCAATCAAAGGGCTCCCATTATCATTACACCTGGCACCCCAAACTTACCTACCACACCCTCTCTAAAAGTTTCTCCTACTTTAGCATTCAAGTCCCTACCACAATTTTCTCTCTCACTTGGTTCAAAGGCTCCTATACATTCACTTAACATCTCCCAAATCTCTCTCTCTCCTCTGCATTCCTCTCTTCTCCAGGTGCATACACGCTTATTATGACCCACTTCTCGCATCCAACCTTTACTTTAATCCACATAATTCTTGAATTTACACATTCATATTCTCTTTTCTCTTTCCCTAACTGATCATTTAACATTACTGCTACCCCTTCCTTTGCTCTAACTCTCTCAGATACTCCAGATTTAATCCCATTTATTTCCCCCCACTGAAACTCTCCTACCCCCCCTTTAGCTTTGTTTCGCTTAGGGCCAGGACATCCAACTTCTTTTCATTCATAACATCAGCAATCATCTGTTTCTTGTCATCCGCACTACATCCACGCACATTTAAGCAACCCAGTTTTATAAAGTTTTTCTTCTTCTCTTTTTTTAGTAATTGTATACAGGGGAAGGGTTACTAGCCCATTGCTCCCGGCATTTTAGTCGCCTCATACGACACGCATGGTTACGGAGGAAAGATTCTTTTCCACTTCCCATGGACAATAGAAGAAATAAAAAAGAACAAGAGCTATTTAGAAAAAAGAGAAAAACCTAGATGTATGTATATATATATATGCATGTGCGTGTCTGTGAAGTGTGACCAAAGTGTAAGTAGGAGTAGCAAGATATCCCTGTTATCTTAGCGTGTTTATGAGACAGAAAAAGAAACCAGCAATCCTACCATCATGCAAAACAGTTACAGGTTTTTGTTTCACAGTCATCTGGCAGGACGGTAGTACTTCCCTGGGTGGTTGCTGTCTACCAACCTACTACTAGATGGGCATACTGTATTTAATATAATTTATGTCATAAAAAATGGGAAGCCTGCGCCTGCGCAGACGAGACTCGTCATTGTTGTTTGAATTGAGTAACAAATGTTAGTGAATATTGGGAAGAATTTTCTTGCTCTAGAGGTAAAATTGGGCTGACACCTCTCAAATAGGAGCCGAAATTGTTGATGTGCATCCTGCGAACTGAGATATCAGGCGACTGGACAAGACAGCTCCAGGACCTCAGATAAGTCTGTTAATGTTTAACTTGACCATGTTATTTTTATGTATAGACAATGAGGGTTTTCTGAGTATGATACACCTTAATCTCCAGTCAAATTGGTGAGTGATATTAAGATATATTCTCCTTCTGTTATGTAAATTGTATATATATATAATCAATTATTAATTTTAATATACAGTCCACAAATTTATATATTTACCAGAATTCCTGGTGATACATATTTCATTTGTAATTAATAGGTCCAGAGCAACTTGTGGATATGACAGTGGTAGGTATCGAAGGGGGACATTTTTGCGACCTAGGTGTCCCAAATTCCTACTTGTCTATGTAACTTTGATAAATAATAATTATCTTTGTTATCATTTACTGTTATGTACATAATTAGTTACATTCAGATAAATGCAATTTTCCACAAAGACATTCATCATTTTTTTAATGTTATACCTGGGCAGTAAAAACTTGTTACGGTCTGTGTATGGCATATAAATGTGTGTGCGCACGACGTGAGTATTGCAGTACTAACGCAGCTTTCGTCAAGACAACACCGCTAGTAGGACCTCTGCCTCTGTAACTTCATTACAGGTAAACTATTTTTGTATGTAGTATATATACATAGAGAGAGAGAGAGACCGCTAAGCTACACATGCCTTAAAAAGCTAGGTAGCTTAATTAACAAAATTAATATAACATCACTTAAATTTCATCGACCAAGTTATTGTTATCACTTCAGATTAACTTTGGGCTATAATATTCAAGGAGGGAGCGTTAAACTCGTAGGGTTCAATGACACCTGGGAAACTGAGATAATCAGGTTTGCTCCTAGGAAGGGAAGACAAACTCCAATACTCTGGATCAAGAGACTTCCATTAGCATCAAGTCACCCCCCCTGGTCATGCAGGGTTAACCCAAGGTAAGCCAACAAAGCCAGGCACCGTGGCTTACTTTCCAACACTCGTGTACCTATTTACTGCCAAGTGACAGAGAACGGTGTGTGTGTGAGGATCTGCCTACACAGCAAGACCAGAGATCGAACCTTTGTCCTATCAGTTGTGGAGCCGTGCTTCACTATACTACCCATACTGTGCTTCACTATACCACACACACTGTGCTTCACTATACCATCCACACTGTGCTTCACTATACCAAACACACTGCTTCACTGTACCACCCATACTATGCTTCACTATACCAGACATATTCTGCTTCACTATACCCCCACACTGTGCTTCACTATATCATCATACTGTGCTTAATTATACCACTCATACTGTGCTTCACTATACCACCCGAACTGTGGTTCAATATACCACCCATACTGTGCTTCACTATACCACCCATACTCTGCATCACTATACCACTCATACTGTTGTTCACTATACCAACCATACTGTGCTTCACTATACCACCCATACTGTGGTTCACTATACCACCCATACTGTGCTTCAATATACCACCCATACTGTGCTTCATTATACCAACCATACTGTACTTCACTATACCACCCATACTGTGGTTCACTATACCACCCATACTGTGCTTCACTAAACCACCCATACTGTGCTTCACTATACCACCCATACTGTGCATCACTATACCACCCATACTGCGCTTCACTATACCACCCACACTGTTCTTCACTATACCACCCATTCTGTGCTTCACTATACCACCCATACTGTGCTTCACTATACCACCCATACTGTACTTCACTATACCACCCATACTGTACTTCACTATACCACCCATACTGTGCTTCACTGTACCACCCATACTGTGCTTAACTATACCACCCATACTGTACTTCACTATACCATCATACTGTGCTTCACTATACCATCATACTGTGCTTCACTATACCATCATACTGTGCTTCACTATACCATCATACTGTGCTTCACTATACCATCATACTGTACTTCACTATACCATCATACTGTGCTTCACTATACCATCATACTGTACTTCACTATACCATCATACTGTACTTCACTATACCATCATACTGTGCTTCACTATACCATCATACTGTACTTCACTATATCATACTGTACTTCACTATACCATCATACTGTACTTCACTATACCATCATACTGTGCTTCACTATACCATCATACTGTGCTTCACTATTCCATCATACTGTGCTTCACTATACCATCATACTGTACTTCACTATACCATCATACTGTGCTTCACTATACCATCATACTGTGCTTCACTATACCATCATACTGTGCTTCACTATACCATCATACTGTACTTCACTATACCATCATACTGTGCTTCACTATACCATCATACTGTGCTTCACTATACCATCATACTGTACTTCACTATTCCATCATACTGTGCTTCACTATACCATCATACTGTACTTCAATATACCATCATACTGTGCTTCACTATACCACCCACACTGTACTTCACTATACCATCATACTGTACTTCACTATTCCATCATACTGTACTTCACTATACCATCATACTGTACTTCACTATACCATCATACTGTGCTTCACTATACCACCCACACCGTACTTCACTATACCATCATACTGTACTTCACTATACCATCATACTGTACTTCACTATACCATCATACTGTACTTCACTATGCCATCATACTGTGCTTCACTATACCACCCACACCGTACTTCACTATACAATCATACTGTACTTCACTATACCATCATTCTGTACTTCACTATACCATCATACTGTACTTCACTATACCATCATACTGTACTTCACTATACCACCCATACTGTGCTTCACTCTACCATCATACTGTGTTTCACTATACCACCAATACTGTGCTTCACTATACCATCATACTGTACTTCACTATAACATCATACTGTGCTTCACTATACCACCAATACTGTGCTTCACTATACCATCATACTGTACTTCACTATACCATCATACTGTACTTCACTATACCATCATACTGTACTTCACTATACCATCATACTGTACTTCACTATACCATCATACTTTACTTCACTATGCCATCATACTGTACTTCACTATAACATCATACTGTGCTTCACTATACCACCAATACTGTGCTTCACTATACCATCATACTGTACTTCACTATACCACCCACACTGTACTTCACTATACCATCATACTGTACTTCACTATACCATCATACTGTACTTCACTATACCATCATACTTTACTTCACTATACCGTCATACTGTACTTCACTATACCACCCACACTGTACTTCACTATACCACCCACACTGTACTTCACTATACCATCATACTGTACTTCACTATACCATCATACTGTACTTCACTATACCATCATACTTTACTTCACTATACCGTCATACTGTACTTCACTATACCACCCACACTGTACTTCACTATACCATCATACTGTACTTCACTATACCATCATACTGTACTTCACTATACCATCATACTGTACTTCACTATACCATCATACTGTGCTTCACTATACCATCATACTGTACTTCACTATACCATCATACTGTACTTCACTATACCATCATACTGCACTTCACTATACCATCATACTGTACTTCACTATACCACCCACACTGTACTTCACTATACCATCATACTCTACTTCACTATACCATCATACTGTACTTCACTATACCATCATACTGTACTTCACTATACCATCATACTGTACTTCACTATACCATCATACTGTGCTTCACTATACCATCATACTGTACTTCACTATATCATACTGTACTTCACTATACCATCATACTGTACTTCACTATACCATCATACTGTACTTCACTATACCATCATACTGTACTTCACTATACCATCATACTGTACTTCACTATACCATCATATTGTACTTCACTATACCACCCATACTGTGCTTAACTATACCATCATACTGTGCTTCACTATACCATCATACTGTGCTTCACTATACCATCATACTGTACTTCACTATACCATCATATTGTACTTCACTATACCACCCATACTGTGCTTAACTATACCATCATACTGTGCTTCACTATACCATCATACTGTGCTTCACTATACCATCATACTGTACTTCACTATACCATCATACTGTGCTTCACTATACCATCATACTGTACTTCACTATACCATCATACTGTACTTCACTATACCATCATACTGTACTTCACTATACCATCACTCTGTACTTCACTATACCATCATACTGTACTTCACTATACCACCCATACTGTACTTCACTATACCATCATACTGTGCTTCACTATACCATCATACTGTACTTCACTATACCATCATACTGTGCTTCACTATACCATCATACTGTACTTCACTATACCATCATACTGTACTTCACTATACCATCATACTGTACTTCACTATACCATCACTCTGTACTTCACTATACCATCATACTGTACTTCACTATACCACCCATACTGTACTTCACTATACCATCATACTGTACTTCACTATACCATCATACTGTACTTCACTATACCATCATACTGTACTTCACTATACCATCATACTGTACTTCACTATACCATCATACTGTACTTCACTATACCATCATACTGTACTTCACTATACCATCACTCTGTACTTCACTATACCACCCATACTGTACTTCACTATACCATCATACTGTACTTCACTATACCATCATACTGTACTTCACTATACCATCACTGTACTTCACTATACCATCATACTGTACTTCACTATACCATCATACTGTACTTCACTATACCATCATACTGTACTTCACTATACCATCATACTGTACTTCACTATACCATCATACTGTACTTCACTATACCACCCATACTGTGCTTCACTATACCATCATACTGTACTTCACTATACCATCATACTGTACTTCACTATACCATCATACTGTACTTCACTATACCATCATACTGTACTTCACTATACCATCACTCTGTACTTCACTATACCATCATACTGTACTTCACTATACCATCATACTGTACTTCACTATACCATCATACTGTACTTCACTATACCATCATACTGTGCTTCACTATACCATCACTCTGTACTTCACTATACCATCATACTGTACTTCACTATACCATCACTCTGTACTTCACTATACCATCATACTGTACTTCACTATACCATCATACTGTACTTCACTATACCATCATACTGTACTTCACTATACCATCACTCTGTACTTCACTATACCATCATACTGTACTTCACTATACCATCATACTGTACTTCACTATACCATCACTGTACTTCACTATACCATCATACTGTACTTCACTATACCACCCATACTGTACTTCACTATACCATCATACTGTACTTCACTATACCATCATACTGTACTTCACTATACCATCATACTGTACTTCACTATACCATCACTCTGTACTTCACTATACCATCATACTGTGCTTCACTATTCTACCCTTCACTATACTGACTATATATATTTGGTATCAGTCTAACGAATAGTTTCTCTTCTTCCTATCACACAGCTTTGTCTCGTGTTTTTAGTTAGTTTAATATGTTTATTATGCGCCCCATACCCATCCTGTGGGTGGTAGTCACCCCAT